GCTGGGTGAGCCGAAGGGGGACTTTTCCGGAGCACCGCCAGGTCGGCCAGCCCGGAGCAGAGCCCGGATTTCCGGTGGCGCTCTGGCCCGCGGCTCCCACGCTCCCCGTGGCCGTGGGTGGCTGCCACCCGGGGGACACAGCCGGCTTCGGTGGGCGTGTGGGCCCCGGTCCTCGGTAGCTCCCGCCCCGCGCGTCCTGGGTGTCTTTCCGCCGCCCTTGCCCGGCTGCGCCCGGCTTCCCCAGATCTCAAGGTCGCCACGAGCTCTGCCAGGTTCCCCTGAAACGGCTCTGGCTTCGGTCTGTCCCTGTCACACGCATCTCAAGACGCCTAGGGGCCTCACAGCTCCCCAGGGGCGCGAAGCGCGCAGAGAGCCTTTGAGCCTTGGCGCGCTTTTTCGCTTGTTTCTCCACTTGCAGTTCCTACAAGCACTGAATGAAGAGCCCGTCCTCCCACTGGGGTCACAACTGCCTCTGGCAAGGAAGCTAAGAAAGGTGAGGGGGGTATTTCTCCCGACTGTTGGCCCCCGGGGGTGGGGTGTCCTCAAGGAGAGGAAAGTTGAAGCCGCAGACAAGTCCCAAGCCTGGCCTCCTGGGGGCAGACAAGCAAAAGCCATCCCCTCTTCTCTTGGGACATTTCCCTCTGGCCCCAGTTCCACTGAATTCAAGGGGTCTTTCTTTTTATTGAAGGGCAAACAGGGGAGCATATTTCTATCCGGGCCCCTAGAAGCTATTGCGTCATTTGATATGCCCCAGGAGAAGGAGTCTGAGTTTACACAAGTTTGGGACGGGACTGGGTGCCAGAAGACTCGCTTGAAGGGCACGCACGAGGGGTTGGGGGCCAGAGAGGAGACTTCTTGTGCCCTAGCCTCAACTTCCTCCAGCACAGAAGGACCCCAAAAGCTGGGCAGCCTTGCCTAGGGGTGTGGACCCTCTGCGGGCCTGTTCATGACCCCCCAGACCGCCGAAGAAACTGCCACAAGTTCAACAGGGAAACATCATTCCAGACGAAACCTACTCCTTTGCGTGGCTCCTTCCTGATAAGCCGGATGTGTTCTCTTCTCACAGCCTTTCCTCTCTCGCCGCTTCCCACTCTCCTTTGTTTATTTCTCTCAGAGACAGAGAAGGCAGGAACTACTAAATATCTTTAAATGTAGATTCCTAGGTTCCAATGCTAGAGAAGCTCTGATCCTGTTGTGAACGAGGCCTGGGAGTCGTTCACAACAGGATCAGGTCGACAGTATGGCACGCCACGCCCTCATGTGAACACACACACACACACACACACACACACACACACACACACCATGGTCAATAACTTTGTGGTCCTGGGTGTCATTATCAGTTTTCTGTCACCCTCTCCCTTTTCCACTTTCTCCCTGGCCTCCTTGTACTTAGACTTTTATTACTGGATGCAACAGCCACGTTTAAAGTGCAAGGCACCCGGATGAAAACCCACAAACAGACTCTGCAGTAATGAAAGTAAAGTATGCCCACCAACCCAGGCGGGGCACCGGCTGCCTGTCCTGCTAAAGGAAACTAGTGTTGGCCAAAGACTCTTGCCTTCCTCTCTTTGCATTCTTCTTCTCTGGCTTGGTGGATGGATGTGAAAATTGCTTCCTTTGTGTTTAGTTTCTGGAAAACTGAGCTGCTAAAGATCATCCTCTGGGCCAGTTTTTCTTTGGGGGATAGTGGGTTTCGTGTTCTTATCGACAGTGGGGTCCTTTGTAGATGATGCCAGAAGTCCATGTTTTCTGTGACTCTTGCTAATCGCAACCCTCCTTTCGCCGGCAATGATCTTTTCTTGACTGTGTGCCCCTCATCCCTGGGACATCTACCCTGTTACACACACTTTAAATGCTTTGGTCTGATTGCTGAAGGGAAAGGTGGATACTCAAGCAGTTAAGGAGAGGGAGGCCTGAGTCTTAAGCTAGGACTTCCTGGGACACTTCCCACTTCCTGTGGGAAGGTGGTACCTGCTTCCTGGTGCCTTTCCCTTGAAGAATCCCCCCTGAACTTAGGGGAGGGACTGGTTCTGTGGATTCATTAGGTTAAGAGGACCCTGGACCTGGGGCCTTGGCCAAAGTTTGGAGCTTTGGAAAAAGTTTAATGGGCCCAGCTTCAACGGAGAAGGTCGGAGTGTTTGCAAGCACACAGCTCCTCTCATCCTTATACACTTGCAAGCCCAGCACCTACTGGGTTCCAGAAACTCTGGCCTATGCTAAGGGGATCCTGATAAAGCAGCTGATCACTGCAGAGATGGCTTGGAGAAGATGGCATTAATTATGGTACCAGAAAAAAAAAAAGTCTCAGCACATGTGTGGTCCAGATAAACAGTCTGAGAGCTAGACATTAGATAAAAGCTGTGTTTAAAGATAGTGGCTGTGCGTTCACCGTTCACCTGCAGGCCTGGAACAGGCTCACTCTTTCATCAGGAAAGGGCTCCAACTTTCCTCCTCAGACAGACCTACAAAGCATAACCCTTGCCCATCTTTTCTTCTCATTCAACTGGGACATTTGTACTTTCCCATCACTGACACCAATACATTTTCTAAATCAAAGGGCCAAGGGAGACCAGCAGAAAGGGACCTGGATTTCGGGCAAAGAATTTCACCAAGGAGCCCTCAGCAGCCTTGGCTGCCCCCAGAGGTGTTCTCTGAGGGTCACCATGCAGTTTGCCACGAGCTCATTAAAGGTTTCAACCTTTAATGATATGATGGGGTGGGTATATTACCCATAACCCTCTGCTTAATTTTTTCCCATCCACAGCACAAGGGCCAACTAACAGGCCTGAGGTGGAAGACCAGTTACCCTCTTCTTCTTCCTCTTCTTTCTTTCCTCCCCTTATATTCCTCTGCCTTCTCCACTTCCTCCTTTTTTCCTTTTCCCTCCCTCCCATCTCTTTCTGTTTTCCCAGCTCCTCTCCCTATGATTGTGACTGAAGTTGACTCAAGCCGCCCCCCCCCCCCAACGTAAAGAACTCTGTGTGCCAAATAACCAACTAATCAGAGAAGCAAATATCCTTGCTGCTTTGGTAAGGAAAAATAAAACTACTTTGCGGGGCAGGAGAGGGGTTTGGGAATCGAACCCGAGGAGGTTTAGAGTTGCACCCTGGCACAGCCCCAGCGACCCATTCATTCTACCATTCGCACATCTCGGGGCCTGCTGGAGAGAAGTGAGCGAGTACGAACAGTGCCCAACAGTAACCGCTTCTGGAGCAGCACCAGAACCAGCGTCATTTCAGAGGCCGGCTGAGGACAGAGTCTGGATCACCCTCTCCCTGGCGATCTACTAAAGTCTCGTTTGTTAGGACTTGAGGCTCCTCGACCGCTCCTGACACGGAGACAGTGTCCTTCCGCGGGTCCTCAAGTCTCCATCTGGCGCACACAAATTTCATTTCGCCACCCTTGCTTCAGAGCGAAGATCTGGGCACCCGGGATGCGCATTCTGCCTTTTCTGCCCGTTCAGTCCTTTTTTTTCCTCCACTTTTGGCCCCGAAGTCCCAAGACAGCGGAACAAGGGACTAAGCGTCTGCTCAGGAAGAGGACGCAGTCCGTACGCCTCCACCGCGCTCAAGGCGCAGAGGGGATGCTTAGGGACCGCGGCGGGGCAGACCCCCTCGGCCAAGACTCCCGGGAAGGATCCCTTCATCTCCTTCCCTCTGCCCCCTGCCTTGTTCCTCACGGCCCCGCTCCTTCCCAGTCTAGACACCGGTGCTCGGTGCTCCCTCGTTTGCCACTTTGCCGGGAACTTTGGCGGCTCCCCTGCGCCACCAGGAGAAGGATGTTAATGAGGGAGTGTTCCCGGCACTGCGAACAAGTCAGCTCGGGAGCTGCGATTGGTTGCGGTAAGGCGGAAGAATGACGTTATGCAAAGAAGGGGCGTGGCCAGGCAGCGAGGGCCCCGCCTCCTTCCCTTTGGGGTTAGTGTGCCTGTGTTTAGCTCTGGGGAGAGTCAAACTGGATTCCACTGGGAGAGCCTGCAAATCACTTCTATTTTAGCAAGGAGAAAACAGAATCTCCATCCTGCAGGGTCCACCCCTCTCTTTCTCCCTCTCCTCTCTTTTTCTATCTCTTTCCCTCCCCCCCCTTTCCTCTTTCCCTCTCTCTCCCCTTCCCCCCACCCTCTCCGGTGTATCTGTCTACAGCAACCAGCGTCCTCAGCTACACGCACGGAAAGGAAAGAAACATCTTTGGTTGAGAGAGGAGGAGGAAAAGAGAGAGAGAAAAAAACTTGCCTGGTTGTGGAAAATGACACTTCAAGTAGCCAAGCCGGCTTCGAGAGTCGTATCTATTGTTTCTTAAATTGTCATCAGGGTGGTTTTTTTTTCTTCCTGCTTCTTCAAGTGAAGGTACCTCTACAAAAGGAAACTCCAGCCCCTCCTGTTCTCCAACGGCCTGTGATTACTACAAAAAGAAAAAAAAAAAAAAAGCAAAAAAAAAAAAAAAAAAAAAAAAAAAAAAAAAAAAAAAAAAAAAAAACAAAAAAAAAAAAAAAAAAAAAAAAAAAAAAAAAAAAAAAAAAAAAAAAGCAAAAAAAAAAAAAAAAAAAAAAAGCACCCAAACTCAAAATCAACCAACCAAACAACCCCAACAGCCAAGCACACATCTCAATTTTTTCTTAATTTTGGTCTTTTCGTTGGATTTTCCCTTTCTTTTTTTTTTTCCCTCGCCCCCCCCTCTTGTTATCGCTCAGTTTTGAGCGAAGGTTTACATTTTTAAGGATTTTGTTTTTCAGCCCGCCTTGATGTAGTGCGAGTTTCGTCCGACTCAAAAAAAAAAAATCTGTGGTTGGAGTGGTTTTTTTTTTTTTTTTTTTT